TCTCTGCTCAGTCCCCTTTTTGAACCAGCGTATGGGCGACTTCCCGTGGCTCCAATCGCCAGCCTAAAGGGCCTCTAGACCGGTGTATTTTGTACGGAGAACCGCGGCTCCGGGGCACCGACAAAGCAGCCGCGCGGGGCAAAGCAGCGGCGCTGGCCGAAAGAGCCGCGCTGGCGACCGTGGAGCACCTCCGCCCGGGAATTTCCTAATCTGTGGGCAATAAAAACGCGGCGTCCACTCACCCTCTGCGCTTTCACTGGGAGCTGCAATCCTGAGCTGTTCCTAAACGGCCATCTTGGATCGTCCCCCCGGAATTTATCAATTTCTACCAGGTTTACTGGTTTATGCACATAGAGTTGTATGTAGTAATCTCTGATGGTAGTTTGTATTTCTGTGGAATCGCTGGTGATATCCCCTTTGTCATTTTTTCTTGCATCTGTTTGATTCTTCTCTCTTTTCTTTTTTATTAACCTGGCTAGTGGTATATTTTGTTATCTTTTCAAGAAACTAGCCCCTGGATTTATTGATTTTTTGAAGGGTTTTTTGTGTCTCTATCTCCTTGAGATCTGCTCTGATCTTAGTTATTTCTTGTCTTCTGCTGGCTTTTGAGTTTTTTTTGATCTTGCTCCTATAGCTCTTTCAATTTTAATGATAGGGTGTCAATTTTAGATCTTTCCTTGCTTCTCATCTGGACATTTATTGCTGTAAATTTTCCTCTAGACACTGATTTAAATATGTCCCAGAGATTCTGGTACATTCTGTCTTCATTCTCGGTTTCGAAGAGCATCTTTATTTCTGCCTTCATTTCATTGTTTATCCAGTCAACATTCAAGAGCCAGTTGTTCAGTTTCCATGCAGTTGTGTGGTTCTGAGTTAGTTTCTTAATCCTGAGTTGTAATTTGATTGCATTGTGGTCTGAGAGAGTGTTATGATTTCTGTTCTTTTGCATTTGTTGAGGAGTGATTTACTTCCCATTATATGGTCAATTTTAGAGTAGGTTTGACACGGTGCTGAGAAGAATGTATATTCTGTGGATTTGGGATGGAGATTTCTGTAGATATCTGTTACATTTGTTTGGTCCAGATCTGAGTTCAAGTCCTGGATATCCTTGTTATTTTTCTGTCTCATTGATCTATGTAATATTGACAGTGGAGTGTTAAAGTCTCCCACTATTATTGTGTGGGAGTCTAAGTCTCTTTGTAGGTTAAGGACTTGCTGTATTTTTCTGGGTGCTCCTCTATCGGGTGTGTATATATTTAGGACCATTGGCTCTTCTTGTTGCATTGACCCTTTTACCATTATGTAATGCCCTTCTTTGTCTCTTTTGATCTTTGCTGGTTTAAAGTCTATTTTATCAGAAGCTACTATTGCAACTCCTGCTTTTTTTTTTTTTTTTTCCTCCATTTTTTTGGTAAATCTTCCATCCTTTTTGTGCTGGTTTCTTCCCATCTTTGTGGATTTATCTACCTGTGGTCTTTGTAGTTGGTGACTTTTGGATGGGGTCTCTGAGTGGGTGTCCTTTTGTTGATGTTGAGATTATTTCTTTCTCTTTTTTAGTTTTCCCTCTAACCGTCAGGCCTCACTGCTGTAAGACTGCTGGAGGTCCACTCCAGACCCTGCTTGCTTGGGGATCACCTTCAGTGGCTGCAGAACAGTAAGGGTTTCTGCCAGTTTCTTCTGTTATCTTCATCCCAGAAGGATACCCGCCAGATGTCAGCCGGAGCTCTTCTTTATGAGATGTCTCTTTTGATATACAGGGGTCAGTGAGCAGATTGAGGAGATAGTCTATCCCTTATTGGAGCTCAAGTGCTGTGCTGGGAGCTCTGTTGTTCTATTCAGAGCTGCTGGGCAGGTACATTTAAGTCTGTTGCAGTGGAACTCATAACTGCCTTTTTCCCCAGGTGCTCTGTCCTGGGAAGGTGGGGCTTTATTTATAACTTCCTCTCATGCTGCTGCCTTTTTTCAGAGATGCCCTGCCCAGAAAGGAAGTAGCCTAGTCACAGTCTGCCAGCAGAGATGTTGCTGAGCTGCCATGGGCTCTGCCTAGCTGCTGTGTGAGCTTCCTTGTGGTTTTGTTTACAGAGGTATAGTTAGAACTGCCTCAGTTATGGTGGTCTGCCTCAGTAATGGCAGACTGTCTCGGTAATGGTGGATTGCCTCAGTAATAGCGGAGTGCCTTGGTAATGGCGGATTGCCTCAGTAATAGCGGGGTGCCTCGGTAATGGTGGGCTGCCTCGGTAATGGCGGACTGCCTGGGTAATAGTGGACTGCCTCGGTAGTGGTGGACTCCCTTGATAATGGCAGACATCCTTCCCCCCACAGAGCTGGACCATCCTGGGTCCAGCTGTGCTTACTGTGAAACTCTCAATCCAGAGTGTTTCAGATTGCTGGTCTTTGTCATGGTGGGACCCACTGAGCTAGATCACCTGGCTCCCTGTTTCAGCCCCTTTTTTTTCCAGTTGAATGAGCAGCTCTGTCTCCCACGTGTTCCAGGTGCCAGTTGAAACAGCCGCCCACATTTGTGTGAGTTTTTCTGTGTAGACCCACTGTGCAGGCTGAAACAGCCTTGCAGGAAACTCATTGTGCTTTTCTGCACGGGAATCTCCAGGTCTGTTGGCAGTAAAAACTCATTTGGAAATGTGGTGATTACTCACCCTCTGCATTGTTCTCGCTGGGAACTGCACTCCAGAGCTGTTTGTATTTGGCCATCTTGGATCCACCTCCTCTTTTGTTTCTTAAAATAACTTTGTTTCAGAAAAGGGGCATTTATTCTATACTTTAAAGGTAGTTTTCCATTTTTGCTTGGCTTTAATTTTGATGAGAAGCAGTTATTAAAGTCATCATTTCCTTTTGTGTAATATGTCATTTTTCTTTGGCTGCTTTTATTTTTTTTTCCCTTTTATTTGTTTTTCAGCAGTTTGATTCTGACTTGTGTGGGCTTGATTTTCTTTGTAAATATCAACTTGGGCAGAACTGAACATGCTGAATATGTAAATTTCACCAAATTTGGAACATTTTAAATGTATTATTATTTTAAAATATTTTGTCTACAACTTCCTCTTTCTCTTTTCCTTGTGGAATACAATTACATATTATATATTTAGTTTTATCCCACAGTTTTCCTCAGTATCTGTTAGTTAACTTTGTTTGTATTTAGATTGAGTATTTTGTATCGATATATTTTCAAGTGGTTTGACTTTTTCCACTGTCATCAGATCCAATCTGTTCCTATGCTCATACATTAAATTTTCAATTCAGATATTATGATTATCAGTTTCAGAATTTCCATTTGACTGTTTTTTTTAAGAGACGTGGTCTTATTTTATCACTCAGGCTGGAGTACATTGGCAGGATCATTGCTCACTGCAGCCTTGAGCTCCTGGGCTCAAACAATCCTCCTGCCTCAGCCTCCCAAGGAGCTAGGATTATAGGTGTGTACCACCATGCATGACTAATTCAAAATTTGTTTTATAGACATAGGGTCTCACTGTGTTGCCCAGGCTGATTTTGAACTGCTGGCTTCAAGCAGTCCTCCCACTTTGGCCTCCTGAAATGCTGGGATTATAGATGCGGGGATGTATTTTTTATAGTTTATATTTCTCTGGTAAGATTTGTATCATTTTATTTATTATGAGCATATTTTCTTTTACACTGGACATTTTTATTATACTTGTTTTAAACATATTATATGTGAATTTTAAAATCTGGATTGTCTTGCTTGGGATCACTTTTTGTTCATTGTCTTTTAATAATAAGTTTCAGATGTCAAGTATTTCTAAATTATATCCTGGGTATTACAAATATCATATTCTTGAAACCCTAGATTATGTTATATTCTTCTGATGATTGGTATTGTTTTTTCTTTAATATATAATTAACACCATTGGATTCAAAATGTAAATTCTATATTCAGGCAGCAGCTCAAATTGCATTTTAGTTTTTTTAGCTTTTGCTAGACTTCTTAGTCTTCTGTATGCAGATGTGGTTCAGGGGTCAGGTGGATATTTTGGTAGAGTTTATATAAAAAATCTGGGGCTCCTTATCTTATCTTCTTTTCTTTGTATAATTTCCCTCTAACCTTTCCAGTGGCTTGGGTTGTCCTGAACTCTGTTCTCTAGTGGTTTTAAAGTCAGCTATTAGGCACCTTGAATGATTCAAATAGGGATTGCCCTGAAACTAAAAGCCATAAAAATGAGAATCTTACCTAGAATTCTTCCTTTCCTCCAAGTATCACCTTCCCTCAAGAATCTACCTACACTTGGCTGGTTGTGGTGGCTTATGCCTGTAATACCCATCCTTTGGGAGGCTGAGGCAGGAGGATGGCTTGAACCTAGGAGTTTGAGACTGCAGTGAGCTAGGAACCCACTGCTGTACTCTAGCCTGGGTAACAGAGCAAGACCCTGCTCTAAAAAATAAATAAATAAATAAATAGAAAGAAATTAAAAAAAAATCTGCCTATTCTTGGTTGTTCTCCTCTTGTTGATACTTGTATTTAGTCCAGAGTTTATGGTTGTTATGTAGGGTAGTATTTGTTCAGTGGGAACTTAGTCACATCAAAAGCAAAACTGGGAACTCTAAATACAGTCTTCAAAGTGTCTTTAATTTGGTGGAGAATTCCTGAGACTTCATGTGTAGTAGAATTTACTCATTCTCACAAAGACAGAACAATATTTATTTTGTGTTAAGAGTAGAGTTTCTTCTTTTAGTAAAATTTGAGATGTTTCTTTTATATATTTCGGGCCTAGAGGAAAGGATAAATGAAACATTTAATTTACTGCAATTGTAATTTGCCAGATTCATGCTCAATTTGCTTGTGAAAAATCAATAGGAAGCTTTAGCTTCAGCTATTATCCACCATTACACCTGAGAGGTGTGCAGTTCAATGTGTATGCTTGAATCTTATCTTGGCTGTCTATGGGTTTTAGAAAAGTAATAATGGTACACTAAATTAATTGAAAATACCAATGTAAATACCTTTTTTACCACTTATTACTTCCTAGAAAGTGGCACATGCTCTGGAAATTGAGAACAAAGTCCTTCAGGAGCAATTGAAACAGGCTTTACAGGTAAAGGATGTCATGTTTCTTTAACATTGTTAACAAGTAAAGAAAATATCCACAAAGAACTTTTCAAATGAATACTTTTACTATTTGGTCAGGTTTAAACTATATTTATTTATGAATTAGGGATATATTCATAAAATTTAGTATTTATTCTTATAAAAAACAGTGAGATAGAAAAGTAAATTTTCTTAAGCTAATAAAGGCAATCTATTCATCTGTCATGGTTGCAGTATAAAAAAAAGAAAAAGAAAAAAATGGCAGTGTATTTCAAGCTGATAGGCATTATACTTAAAGGTAGATTACTACAGGCATTCCAGTTAAACTCAGTTGAACCAAGATGTTGGCTCTTACTACTCTTTTAAAAATTCTAGTTGAATAATACAACAAGAAATGAAAAAAAGCTGTAAACATTTCATGAATGGACAAAAGTGTAATCATTTGTTTATTATAAAATTGTTTTTCTGAAAAATTCAAGATATTAGTTATTAGTGATAGAGTTTAAAAAGGTGAGTGAGGGCAAAATAGAATAGGTTTTAGAATAGAATAGAGAAAATAAATCAACAGATTTCCTTTTTATTAGAAACAATAATTTAGAAAATGATTGTTCAAATATATCATTTTATAAAATGTAATATATGTTTATTCGTAATATTAGTTTAGAGTGATACAATATATTTAATAAGAAATACACAGTTTAATATTAAGAAAAATAAAATACTTTACCAAGAGACACAGATCAACAGTGAATAAATAGAAATTTATAATTTTAGTTTTGAGCATTCAGTGTTATCAATGTTTTAATTTTCTATTTCTCAAACAGTTATACAAACTGAAAGCAATTTATTTTTAGATATAAATGAAATTGTTCTTGAGTTTAATAAAATTACTCTAAGGCCAGGTGCAGGGGCCTTATAATATATAACCAATCCCAGCACTTTAGGAGGCTGAGGCGAGTGCATTTCTTGAGCCCAGGAGTTTGATATCAGCCTGAGCAATGGAGTGAGACCTTGTCCCTACAAAACATTTTAAACAATTAGCCAGGTGTGGTGGGATGTGCCTATAGTCCCAGCTACTCTGGAGGCTGAGGCAGGAGGATCACTTGAGCCCAGGAGGTTTGAGGCTGCAGTGAGCACGGATTAGGCCACTACACTCAAGGCTGGGTAACAGAGAGAGATCCTGTCTCAAAAAAATATATTATAAAATATAATGAGACAAGAAACTGATGATTATACAAAAGAAAACCAAGAAGATTTTCTTATGAAAAAAATCAATAAATCATGTAAAACTTCAATAACCAAAACACTGTGGTTCTGATTCTGGCACTGAATGGAAAGTCCAAAAACAGATTCAAATCAATATAATAATTTAGTATTTTATAAACTATTTATTAAAAATTTTTAAAGAAGGATAAAATAGTCACACAAAGTGAATTAGTGGGAAAACGTACATTTTCAGATAATATATCAAAATAAATTGGAGATTGATTTAAGATTAAATAGTAATAAATGTTAGAAGAAACACTGGTAACAGTTAGATGGTCTTGATTAGAGAAAAGACTTTTAAGCTTTATACTCCCAAAGGAATATGTTAATGTATTTGGCTATATATGAATTTAAAACTTTTTTATGTTAGAAAAATCATAAGAAATAAAGATAAATGGAAAATGTGTGCAAAATGTTTTATGTAAAGATATGTTGCCCCTTTATGTTTATCTGCATATGAAGATATTGTATATGAAGATATTTGTGGCTCAAGCTTGAGGTGCACAGGGCCAGAGATGCCACAGACCTGCCACCCAAAGCATCTCAGAAGTGGTGAACTCTTCAAATTTGCGATAAAAATGGCCTCCAATAAAACTGCATTGCAAAAAATGAGAAACAGAATGGAAAGGATGAAAAAGTTGAAGAGGCATAACCTGAAGAATTTGTGTTGGAAAAAGTACTAGATCAACGTGCAGTGATGGGAAAGTGGAATATTTCCTAAGTGGAAGGGATTTATACATGCTTACAGTACTTGGGAACCTGAAGAAAATTTAGAGTGTACAGAGATAATTAAAGCATTTCTTAATTCTCAGAATGCTGGTAAAGAAAAAGATGATATAAAAAGAAAATCTTTATCTGACAATGAATCTGATGACAGGAAATCAAAGAAGAAAAGAGATGCTGCTGACAAATCAAGATTTACCAGAGGTCTTGATTCTAAAAGAATAATTGTCACAGACAGCAGTGGAGAATTGATGTTTCTCATGAAATGGAAAGATGATGAGGCAGACTTTATACTGGCAGAAGAGGCAAATATGAAGTGTCCTCCAGTTATACTGCTTTTTATGAACAGAGACTAACTTGGCATTCTTGACCAGGAGATGAAGCTCAATAATTGTCTGCATTGTTTTATATACATATATGTATACATATAATTGTTTCCATTGTTTATTTATACAATACAATATTTATACATATAATTGTTTTGTATAAAATCTGGATCTTGGCTTTTGCTTTTCTAGTATGAAGAAATAACAAGATTGATACGTTTGTTTTCAAAGTAGTGTTGAGAGGTTTTTTTTTGGAGGTTTGTTTTTGCATGACTAGCACTGGTTACTTTGAACAAATAAAAACTTTTGGTAGTTGCTTCCTTAATTAGAAAAGAACATTTGATACCATGGTATATTATTTCCTCTGCATTAGAGAACAGTTTTTCTAAAGGTTCAGGGAAATTCCCATAGTCATTACTCAATCAGAACTTGTGTTCTTATATGCCTAAGGGCCATTCTGCGTTTTTTGTTTTGTGTGTGTGTGTGTGTTTGTGTATACATAAAAAAAATGTAAATAGTTTTCTTTTTTTAAAAAAACAATTGCCAAAACAAAAATTACAAGTTAGTCCATATTTCTGAGATGCCATCAGTCTGAGCAACCCAAAATATAAATCAAGTCAAAGTGAAAAATTTCCTGAAGCAGTACATTTCAAGTGAAATGGTTCTAATTAATTCTAATTAAGTTTAATTGGATAATTTAAAAGCATGCGTATCTATATATAGTATGGTTTGTTTGCAAAATTCCTAAAAGGAAAACTTTTATCACTGTCAACAACCTCCCCATTCAGATGAGAAAACTAAACAAATCCTAGTTTGTTTTAATTGGCTAACCAAGACTTAGTTAATTGGACATTGCTCTAGCGAATCCATTCCTTAACAAAAAGTTGAAATCTCTGTTGCTACATGGACTAAAGGTCATGATTTATTGAATACCTAAGACTTGGTGTATGGAAACCTAATCAGATGGGTTAGAGATGTTGGCAGTTTAGGACCTGCTGCCATAAAAGTGTGAATAAACTTTTGTCATCTAAACTATTGACCTGCATGTTTTTTCTTTACCCTGACTCATTCCTTACATGTAGGCTCAGTCTTTTCAGTATTTGCTTTACTTGTTCAGCAGAAGCCAGGAAAAACAACTTTGTAGTAATCAGAATGCTACCTAACTGTATTTTGTTTACTTTATTGTAAATGCTGGTGAATGGTGGTCAATATTAATAGTTTTATATTCCTTTATGCAATAAAGAAATTTTATAAACCTACAATAAATATGGATAGCCATCCCCCAAAATAGACAAAGGATGTGCATAGGCAAGTTTCAGAAATACATATTACCAATAAATGCATGCAAACATATTTAAACTCACTAGTATCAAATACATGCATTTAAAATACAGTAGTACAGATTTTTTATTTTGCCTGTCATCTTGATAAAAATGTAAGGCGTAAAAACTACAGAAATTCGTAGTATTTATGGTTGTATGCTGAAATGGGCAACCTTTCACATACTTCTATTGTCAAAAAAATATGAATTGATATATTCATAGATGTTTGATAACAGAAGTATGAAAGATATTTATGTCTTTTCTGGGAGACAAAAAAGACATAGCAAACTTGAAAAGATGTATCCTTTTCACTCAATAAAAGCTTTTAAAATTTTATTCTAAAGAAGAAAAAAGTATACAGAGATTTTGCACAAGTATGTACAATGTCATATGTTTTAATAGCAAAAATTATGAAATGATCTAATTGTCCATTGATAAGGAATTTGCTAAGCCAATTATGGTATATTATTAAATGTATTTCTGTTACCTATTCTGATTTAAATGTATATTTATGTTATAGAAACATATCTATGACATTATTTAATAAAAAGAGCATATTATGTGAGTATGTATAGTATGACCCAATCTAGATAAACATTTAAAAAATTTGGCTGGGCATGGTAGTTCATGTCTGTAGTCCAAGCACTTTGCGAGACTGAGGACTGTGGATCACTTTGAGCCCAAGAGTTTGCAATCAGTCTGGGCAACGTGGCAAAACCCTGTCTCTACTAAAAATAAAAAAACTGGATGTGGTGGTATGGGCCTGTAGTCTCAGCTACTTGGGAGGCTGAAGTGGAGGGATGACTTGAGCCCAGGAGACAGAGGTTGCAAAAAACCCATGTATATCTATATCTATATATGTGTATAGATGTATCTTATATATATGACATATGTAAGATATATATATGCACTAACTATATTCAGAAAAATTTAAAAAGGATATACCTCAAAATGTTAATAGTGATTTTTCTTTATGAGGTGAGATTATTTGTTAATTTTCTTTTTGTTTATCTATATATTCTTTTATATAAGTTGCTGGGACAAGTCCTAACGTGTGTGATTGATTATATTGTTTGAGAATGACAGCAAGGAGACCAAGCCAGCCCCTAAGCACAAAACTGCTCAGGGCATTTTAAAATAGTGAACAGTATATGCATATCATACACTAGTTAAACCAATTCTTTAAACACAGGATCTGTGATCCTGCCCCCACTGCTCCCTCATGGAGAATGCTTTCTAGTTTGTTTTTGATCAGTGGTAAGCAGGCACCAGCTGCCCTAGTTTATCTTTGTTCTATGAGAAAACACAGAACACCTGAGTTTTAATAATACTCACCTGTTCAGAGAGAATAAACTCATGGGTCGGAGTCTGCTGGAGGCCCTCAGCTCAGAAGGCTGCTAGCTCCCGACCCCACTTTGCACTGTATCTTTGTGTTTGTTTCTTAAGTCCGTTGGGGTCTCTACGACCGAGCTGGACTCAGCATTAGGTAAGTTAATTATGTAACTAGAATGATAAAAAGTGACATTTTTAAGGAGACATTTATTCCAGAATAAATTGTTCTCTACATTTTATTTCATTCTTTGATATTATAGGTGTTATCTTTGCTATAGTCTATCAGTTTTTATAATGTATATGAATTTTTATTTTGCTTGTGTAATAATTAGAGCCTTAAAAAATAACAGCCAGGAGAAACTCCTGGGTATAAAAATAGCCCTCAAAGGTGGAAGAGGTTTCTTCACAACTTTTGGTTTTAACTGTGGAATTGTTAAAGTATCAATTATATCAGTAGCTTAACTTTGCTCCCTTTAACTCAGTAAAAATGAGTTGAGAAATCACGTACGCATAAATATATGTAAATTCCTGAATGCAGTAGTATTGGCAGAAAATATCAGAAAATGCTTGATAAACTGGTACTTTTTTAAAACAGGAAGCTGAAAAAGCTAAGCATCAACTTAACTATTTCCTAAGTCAAGATAAGAAGTTACGTAAAAGTGAGGGGAAAATCGAGACAACAATGGAAGTGGGTAATAATCAAACAAAAGTTAAAGGTGAAGATTCAAAAAATATACCACTGAAGAAAGAAACAAGAAAATCACTGATTCCAGATTCAGGTGGACAAAGGACAAATGATAAAATCCAAGAATATCCACAGGTAAGAAAATAACCAAAATGGAGACAGTAATATATGTTGTGAGAAATTTATCATCTTTCATATTATTATTTACTTAATTTGTATATGTTATTTAAAAATTATTCCTTTTGGGGGGGTTTGTTTTTACTTTTGCCCTTTACCTTCTGGATATGTCAACTCATTATTATTTTTAATACCAAATTGTGACTTAAATATACATATATCTTTGAATGACCACATAAGGATCTGAGATTTGAGTCCTTTATTTTTACCTTCTCTTATTGTGTATAATTTTTATTGTGAACTATCTTAACTTCTTCCTGGAAAGATAAATAATAAAGACAGTTTCTCTGAGGGCAATCAAAATTATTAAAGTTGTTAGGTCATGTATATAAATGGAGTAGGGTACACTGAATTGAATAAAAAACAAATATTTGAAGAAATATCGGATGCTGCTTTAAGACAAAGAACAAAAGAAGCAGTACAACTTAAAATCTACTAGTCATTTTATATCTGCTATTATAAAATGTGCTAGTCATTTTATATCTGTGATTGTTATAAAATATGCTAGTCATTTTTATGTTTATTTATATGGGCTGGTTATTTACACAAGACCATAAGATAGCTATGAGCACCTCCATTTTGAGGATGAAACCAAAGCTTTAAAAAATTAGACATGCAATATTACAGTGAGTAATACTGAGTTAGATTTCAAATTCAGGTCTTTCTAGATCCAAAATCACATCTAAAGATAACTTCTTTGCTTGTCTATATGGTTGGATTTGAAACTTGCTTTGTTAATAGCTTTATTGTTTTACATTTCCCGTATTTATCCCCTAAATCCAAAGTGAAGTTTTTCTTACATGACAGAAAAAGTTAGATTCAGTAATAAAATGAACCTGAACAGAAGGAACAACTTCATTACCTAAAAACACCACATTGCTTTCACGTGATTGTAATTTTTAGTGAGTTTATATATAGATCAATACACACCTGTCTTGCATATCTAGCTTAACACTCATTATACATTTACTATATGCTAGGTTCTTTGCATAGAAGATGTACATAATGTTCTGGTAATAGTGAAACAGGGGTTATTATTAGTGGAGATTTTTATTTAATAGAAGTTTATACTCACCATCCATGTTCTTATAGTAATTTAACTGTAATATTCTTTCTCAACCACTGTATTAAAACTATTTTTGCCAAGGTTATAACAAATCTACTTAATGCTATTCTGAAGGATACTTTATAGTTTTCTTTTTCTTTCTCTCTTGTTTTTTTTTTTTTTTGAGATGGAGTTTCACTCTTGTTGCCCAGGCTGGAGTGCAGCGCATGATCTCAGCTCACTGCAACCTCCACCTCCCTGATTCAAGTGATTCTCCTGCCTCAGCCTCCTGGATAGCTGAGATTACAGGTGCCCACAGCCATGCCTGGCTAATTTTTTTGTATTTTTAGTACAGTGTTTCACCATGTTGGCCAGGCTGGTCTTGAACTGACCTCAGGTGATCCACCCACCTCGGCCTCTCAAAGTGCTTGGATTACAAGGCATGAGCCACCATGCTCAGCCAGATGATTTATAGTTTTATCTTATTTGTCCTCTTAGTAACATTTAACCATTTATTGTTTTTAAATATAGTCTATAGTTTGTTTGAGAAACAGCATAGTTATTTGGTTTTCCTTCTATATTTCTGGGACACCTCTTTGGTCTCCTCTTGCTCTGCTCATTCTTTAAATGTTGGTATTTTTCTGGAAAAAAAAAAGAGTTGTTTATTCCATATACTCTTTCTGAGAGTGCTCATATACCTTCATGGCTTCTAGTGCCATATAAATCTCTTAGTTCTCACTCAAATAGCACCTAATTTCCGGACCTATTGTTCATTAACATACTGAATTTTTCTGTTTAAATGGGCTTCAAACATCTAGAATTCACCATGTCCTCAAATGAACCAATTGCTTTCTTCTCAAACCTGCTTTATCTCCCAATATTCAGTCTCCTGGCATCCTCATCCATCTAATTGCTGAAACTGAAAGTCTAACATCACTGTTACTTCTTCCTCTCCTTTGTCTTGATCCTATTATTATCCATCAAATTCTATCCAGTTTTCTCAATATTACTGACAGTTCTGGTAGTCAAGCTCCTTCCAGAACTCTAATTGGTCTTTCTTTCCAGGCCAATCTCCATGTTGGTAGCTAGTCATCTTTCAAAAATTGATGGTTGTTACCTTCTTGTCTAAAATATTTAATGCTTTCTATTTCCCTTACTTTAAGAACAAAGCCCTAATTATGGTTTAAGGCTTTTTCAGATCTGGTCTTTTTTTGAGATCCCAGCCTCATCTTTAATTAACCCCCTAAGCTATTGCACATGCTTTCATATGCACACATGTGTTGTATATTTTATGCTTTAGCTACACTGAACCTCCTTTAAGTTCATAGAACATGTGGTATTTTCTGTAACCTGAAATATTTTGCCTATTTTGTTCTCTGCTTGAAACAGTTTCTCCCTTCTCCGTTTCCTAAAATTTATCTGATTAAAAGATAAATGAGGAACAAAAAGTACTGTTTCAGTTATTTTTTTGCAGCATAACAAATTACACTAAAATTTAGCAGTGTAGAAAGCAAACATGTATTATCTCAGAATATTTGTAGGTCAGGAATCCTAGCGTTCCTTAGCTGTGTCCTCTGGCTTAGGGTCCCTCTCACAAGGATGTAGCCAAGGCATTAGCTTTGGCTGTGTGTATCTTAAGGTCCAACTGGGGAAAGATGTACTCCCAAGCTCGTATACTCACGTGACTATTGTTAGGCCTCGGGTCCTTGCTGTTGACTTGAGACATCAGTACTTTGCTATAGGCCCTCTCCATAATGCAGTTTACAACATGGGAACAAGGGCTGAGTGAGATATAGGGAGACATAGATGGAGGGAAAGAGACAGGGAGAAAGAGACAGAGATAATCTAATCTCAGAAATGAAATCCCATCACTTTTGTCATCTACTAATTAAAAGTAGAAGTAGTCGCTAGCGCCAGCCTACACACAGGGAAGGGTATACCTCTAGCATGAATACCATGAGCAGGGATCACTGGTAGTCATTTTAGAGGCTGCCTACTATGAGTATTAATAGGTATGAGGTTGTGAAAATTCCTGAATCGAATACTAAATCAAGCTGTTTGGTCTTCAATTTTCAGAAAAGAAAATTTCTGGGTAAAGGAATAACATGCAAGATACTGTTTTTAAAGAAAATAATTGTACATCAGTGGGGTAGATGTGTCATTCCCTTTTATTGATCCCATAATTAATAAGGTTTTTATGTATATTGTAAGTATAAATGTATTTAATTTTTTCTGCTGATAGAGCTCTCCGGGTATCATAATGCCCTTGGTTGGCTGTGGAGCTGGATATTGTTAATATCAAGAGCAGGCTTTCTCACCTGAGGTGGGAAGGTCTCAGTGCTCTTGGGTCTGGGCTTCACAGTGAAGCCACCTTATCATCCTGTGCTTTAGGGAATAGACATCAAAAGTTTACAAGTAAAGGAAAAATATTTGGAACTTCTACAACTAGATGCTATATTACACAAAAGGGCTGTCATATATACATCCTAATGACAAGTTGGAAAAGTAGTTCCTTTTTGTTTCTGCAACTGTTTTTGAGGTTGTTTATTGAAATGATAATCTTTTTTAATTCAGAGGGAGGAGCAAGAACTATTATTTCTGTCAGGAACTATACATAATTATCTATAAACTGTTAATGGAGGATGATAATACTTTATAAGAGTACTGTGGCTGGGCGTGGTGGCTCATGCCTCTAATCCCAGCACTCTGGCCCAAGGTGGGTAGATCACTTGAGATCAAGAGTTGGAGACCAGCCTGGCGAACATGGTGAATCCCTGTCTCTACTAAAAATAAAAAAATTAAAAACCAGGCATGGTGGTGCGTGCCTGTAATCCCAGCTGCTTAGAAGGCCGAGGCGGGAGAATCACTTGAACCTGGGAGGTGGAGGTTGCAGTGAGCCCAGATAGTGGCACTGCACTCAAGCCTGGGCAACAGAATGAGACCCTGTCTCAAAAAAAAAGGAAAAAAAAAAAAAAAATACCGTGAGGGTAGAATAAGATAATGCTTGTAAACTGCTTTTGTGTATCACGAAGCCCTATGTAACTGTTATTTTGCATCCCTATTTAGCTCACTAGGAGTTGTCTACATAGGCTAAAAATTCTTGGTGATTTATTAGTTAGTATATAGGATAACTATTGTGACTATTGTGACACAGAGACACAAAATGTATGATGGCTCAAACACAATAGAAGCTTATTTCCTGGTGTTAATAGTCCAGGGATGTTCAAGGCCAGTGTTTGTGGTAGGGAGTTCTGCTCCACAGAGTTTAGGTATCCTGACATATGGAAGTTTTACTCTTAGATGTGGCTTCCTAAGCCACACTGGGTATAGTTATCTAGCTCTCAGAAAAGAATATGGAGGACAAACGTAAGTAATTTTCATTGACCAGGCTGGAGGAGGCACACATCATTTTTTCTCACATTCTATTTGCTACATTTAACTACAGAGGGAATTTAAAAATGTAGACTAAAAATGTGTCTAAGAAGATAAAATTAGTTTGTTGACCATTTAGAAGTCTTTGCCACAGGGGAATAAGGATAAAGCCAGTTAATCTCTGCATAAAAGAAGCTGAATTAGATGAAAATCAGATCTGGAATAAAACCTAGAATCAACATTTATATTATAGAAAAATTTGTATTATATTCACAAGAGGTAATTTATTAATAAAAATCACACTTTGAAGGCCACTTGCATAACTTTTTTTTTTTTTTTTTTTTGAGACAGAGTCTCACTCTGACACTCAGGCTGGACTGCAATGGCATGATCTCGGCTCACTGCAACATCCGCCTCTCTGGTTCAAATAATTCTCCTGCCTCAGCCTCCTGAGTAGCTGGGATTATAGGCGCCCGCCACCATACCCAGCTAATTTTTGTATTTTTAGTAGAGATGGGATTTCAGCATGTTGGCCAGACTAGTCTTGAACTCCTGACCTCACATTATCTGCCTGCCTCAGCCTCCCAAAGTGCTGGGATTACAGGCGTGAGCCACCTTGCCTGGCTGGCCTAACGTTTTTGGTTACATACTTCTGTAAACATATTTGAGCTTGTGTTCTCAATGTACCTATTTTAAAATAAATAAATTACAAAGAGTACCACCACTGTTTATTATATATAATAGCATTATAAACCCTTCAGCAAGAATATTTAAAAGGAATAGATAGTTATGTCATAGATAAGTTTAAAATGAATTTTGGGCTACTCTGCCTGTGGAGCAGCCCTGCTCTGTCTATGGAGCAGCTATTTGCATGTACTCTATTGCTCTAATAAACACGCTTTTCTTTCACTCAAAAAATTTTGTTTACTGAAAGTATAAAACCCTCTTTGCTTTTAATTTAAAAGTATAAGTGTAATTTTAGGGCCTACTCTTCTATAGTGTCTCTTCCAATGCTAAAATATGATAATTTCTTTGCTTTTTTGATACCTTAATTTTACAAAATTATCATATTAAACTGCCTTAATCACTTTAAAAAAGTGATATTTTTCTAAATGACTGAATGTAAACATTTTATATGTATACTTGATATGTACTTGATATATTTAAATGTATTATCTTTATCACAGATCTCTGCCCAAAGTGGAAGACCAATTGAAAAAAGGTAAAACATTTAAAAAAATTTTTTCTCTCATTTTCTAATCTTTATCAGTTCACATACACAAGTAATGAAAAGTACGATTCTAAATTTAATATCACAAAACTCCTTGATTTTTATCTTTCCTATGATATTGCACTCTTATCTTTGAAACTAATTTTAAGTAGGAAATGTTTGAAACTTTGCAGTCAAAAATCAAAATTAAATGAAATAAATTAAGGACCAAGTCTATGTACAAAACACTTTTTCTGTCAACATTAATTAAAATTTCCAAATAGTGAGGAACTAACCCTTATTTTCAACTTAGTTTATCAAGATACATAAGCTAGATACATAAACAATTTATTTAAAAATCCTTTTTGCCTTTCATTTTAACTCAGTCACTATACACACACATACATATGTACATGCATGTGCATAAATAATTCAGTTGACTGATTCATCCAATTCAATCTTAGTTTTCACTTGTGAGTCTCTGATTAGCATATTATGATTGATTCACAGCATTTTTTGATTCACATTACCATGCAGTAAAGAGGAATTACCTAGAAGTATGCATTTATGTACTTTATCACCATTTTAAATATATCTGGATTATAGACCCAGGTGAATTAGCAAGAATTAGGCAATATGTATAATGATTAATGGCCAGAAGTTTTGAAAATGTTCATTTTAAATGTTTGTAGTGAATGTTTAAAAGTATTTTAAACACTAACTAAACATATACTAAAAACTGTATGTTTTAAATACAATATGTAAGAGAAAATTAGACATTGGTCCATTTGTTGATCTGCAAACTTATTATGCTTGGTTTCTTGTTACTGATTTCTTTATATTTTAAAAATGTATGGTTAGCATTATAAACATTTGGAAAGGCATAAGAAAAAGTATTAATAATTATCTTCAGCAGTAATGGGAACTTAGCCATTTTACATATCGTGTAGAAATGGGAAGGAATAATGTATGGTGCTCTTATATTCATACTCAGATTATGGTAGAGCATGTAATACTACTATAGTTTTCCATGTAATCATGGCGAAGGATAGCTTTGGAAAATCCTGGAGAGCCAGTAGTTTATCACCCTGAAGAACATGAGGTGGTAACTTTTGATATAATTTGTTTTAAAATTGAACATTTAGTTTCTGCTGATAAATGTGATAGGCTCTTTGTACATTGATAAATCTCAGAAAATAGAAACATTGGCTTTAAAAAAGCATTTTAAATAGTTTCTAGTCTGTATGAAGACGTGATAAAGCAGTTTCAGTTACTTTCCATGGGCATTTGGAAAAGTCTTAAGGGGTTATGTTAATGTTACTTAGTCTAGTCCTCATTCTACTTTTCTGATAAGTCACATTTTAGAATTTAAATTGGAAGTGATAGAATGGAAGAAGAGCTCAATGGAGAACAAGAGAATGAGGATGATAGAGAATATAGGACATCAAGATTAAGAAAAAATCATAGAGTGAATATATCAAATTATTCATCTGAAATGCCCTTTTTTCCCTAGAAATGTTAATTGATGTGAAATGTTAATTGATATAATAACTTCAGGAGGAAGATTATTTTAATTCATTTCAATTCAGTTTAGCTCTAATGAGGAAACACTAACAGCATCCATGCTGTGCAAGGCACTGTGATGGATATTATGAGATATAAAGGGTTTCAAATATATGGTCATTGCCCTCAATGCATTAACAGTCTAGTAGGGCCGACTAGACATGTACAAAAATAAGTGGAGTATAATGCAGATGTTGCATTCTATAAAACATTACTAAGAAGCTACATCAAAACAGAGGAAAAGTTATTTCTGACTGGATTAAGAATTACATACCATTTAATTTAATAAAGATGGTTGGGTTGGATTTTAACAGGGAGATGTGAAGAAAGGGTGTGACAAGTGGACAGAACTTTGCTTTGAGGCAAAGATGACGATGTTTGGAATCTATACACTGTGCTCGGGAAAAGGCCAAAAATTCATTTTTCTCGGATTCTAGACTTAGGACATTAGTGGGAAATACGAGATGAAATAGGTTGTTTCCGCTTGATAGGTTTTATAGAATTGCCCTTAATAGCTTTAGGTTAATTACTATATATAATATAATATATCATATATATTATATATATGATAATGTATCATATCATATATTATATTATATTGCTAAACATAATAAAAATTCAAACTATTAAGCACATGCCACATATTATTCATCAACCTTCATTTTGGGTTACTTCTTAGATCCTAATAGAGTTTCTGAAATACTTTGGAAAAGTCTCCCAAACCTTCAGAGAGTGGATGGGAGCGAAGTAAGGAGACCCCACCTGAGCAGATACATGGTATTGCTTATAATAAAGTACATTTTTGCTCTTTACAACATTTAGCAGTTTATTTTGGCTTAGGGAATGAGTTAGTGATAAACAGTTAATCAAACAATAATAATGTATTGTTTCACATCATCTGCATTGTTAGCTTAAATGTTTTGCGGCAATGAAATTCACACCTTTTAGAAATGTATGTCAACTAATTCATGGTGTTTTATTTTTAAGAGTTACACAGTCAACCTTCTTCTTTCTAAATACTTTCATTAGGACTTTTTTCTCCCCATTACTACTTGAGTTTGCTATAAAGCACAAAAACATACAAGGGAAGTATATTGGTATGTGTCCATTTTTTTCTCCATAGATGATTAGTTAGCTGTTAAATTTACTCATTTATTCACCAACTCATTCAACAGATACTTTTGTCACCTTTGTATGCCCAGTACTCTTTTGGGTATTGTGTTTTCCTGAAAAACAAGACAAACAAGATGCCTTCTCTTGTGGTACTTACATTATAACAGGAGAGACAAAAAATAACAAGTAAAAATAAATAAGATAATTTTAGAGACTAATAAATGAAGATAATGAAACTACACATCAGACAGTCACAGGGAAGGATAATTTAGATTGGATGGCCAAGGAAGGTATTAACAGTGAAGAAAAGACATTATTTAGTTGTGAAATAAAAGCTGTTAAAATAGTTTTTTTCAATTTTTACCAAAATAAACTTCTACAAATGAAAATTATATTATTACTAAAAGGTCTAGACTAGAGGAGCTTTTAATATCCTCAGTTAACTATTGGATCAAGGGGCATATTACTAGTGACCCAAATAGTAGGCAAAAGGTAGATTTTATGGAGGAAACCTTACAATCTAGGAAGCAATAGAGGGTACAATATCCCCTAAGCTGTCATTATTCCATAGAGAAATGGACTTAGATTGAGAAAAGCTGGATTCACCATAGAAAAGGCTCCTGAGAGGAACCCCCTTCTCACATATCACTTTATAAAATTATAGGGGAATTGGGAGGGTATAGAGAGCACCTAATCAACCATGTAACACAGAGCTTCCTGGTTGGGGCAATGGCCTTACAGGAAAAAGAAGGAAATAGGTACTCTGTATACTAATGTAGCTGGTATCAGCGAGTCAAACAGTCCTGGTGAGCCAGCTCTGTGAAACCACAAAAAGAAGGATGAAAGAAAATTGCCAGGACCATTCATAAATAAAGATTTGTCTCTCTGTTGTCCACCCTTTGATCTTGGAGACTCATTATTATAGTCTGCAAGTCTGACACCTGGTTCTGAACATACCAATTTCCTTAGTATTGTCTGAGAGAAGAATATTAGTAAGGTCACTAATATTAGTAAGGTCAGCTGGGTTGGATGAGGATGTAGAACCAAAATCCTCCTAAGTTAACATTATGAACTCTTTTTCCTGGCCAAACACAGATACCTTTTTTTTTTTTTTTTTTTTTTTTTTTTTTTTTTGAATGCTTGTTCCGTATTTGCCATAGGAAAGAGAAAGTCATTTATCACTTCCCTTGAACATCCACCTGCAACCATTTCTCAGCATCAGATATGTTCACGTCTGACAAACAGATCTGTTTTTCTCTGTGGAGATGAGTCAGGTTGTCTTTTTTCTGGAGTGATAGTTCCGTGGGGACCCCAAAGTTACCATTTTGCCATCATAGGCCACCTGTGGGGTTAGAAGAGGGTATCTGCAGCACCATCCGATGCTTTTAAATGAGCAATATGTTGTGTCAACCCATCCACTGAGATCAAAGCAAAGGGGAAAAAAGGAGTATACTATTCCTCTTGAAATGATATATTTCTCTACTCCCTAACTTCTAGGTACGTTGGAATTTAACCACGAAAGAGGGGCCCTTGCTTGGTATGGTATCCTGTAGCCTATAAACAATTAGGGAAAAGTGGACTGACAAGCACTATGGAGGTCGTTTTCAAAGAGGCTGCCTTAAATGGCAAGTAGAGTAAGCTTGATGGACAACAGTGGCTTCTATGTCTTTTTTTTTTTTTTTTTTTGAGATAGGGTCTCACTTTGACCCCTAGGCTGGAGTGCAGTGGCACAATCATGGCTTACTGCATCTTGAACCTCCCATGCTGAAGCCATCTTCCCATCCTAGCCTTCTGATTGGCAGGGACCTCAGGCATGTGCCACCATGGCCAGCTAATTGTTTTATTTTTATAGAGATACAGCCTCCCTATCATGCCCAGGCTGGTCTTGAACTCCTAGACTCAGGGGCCTTTCACACCTCAGCTTCCTAAAGATTTCCATGTCTTTTTAATAAACTCCTTATTGGGCATTGTGTTCCTTCATGGTGGGATGGATTTGAACAGGGACCCAAAACTAAACTAGAGATGATGGTTACACATTGTTAATTGGCTTTTTCATGTCAAATGTTTTCCTTTAGATTTGGTTCCTTCTCATGGACACATACACATAGAATATAAGAACTGAGTTTGTGATTAAGTTGTAACTATTTCCTTGGGCAAAGGTTACCTCAGAATAGCATGTGTAGAGTTCTGTCCTAGGGGATCCAATAGCCTGACTGAATAACTAGGCTCATTAACAATGGCTCATTAGTCTTTCTAATAGTGCAGTTTCAGTCAATCTGAGGAGACTGTGCTCTATGGCCATGACGAATGCCTGAAGTTTACTCAGTTCTGAAGAACGTCCAATACTATAGGATCTCAGCAACTTACCATCATTATGGTGAAGGACTGTAGCACTCCATAAGATTTCATGACCTTTGACAGAGGCTTTTCCATTAGGGAATCATGCTTTCTTGTCAAGTGGCAAATCTTTCAGGCAAGTGCCTTACTGAGTCAATGGTTTGTTTAAAACAGCAAAGGGATCTTCTGTGTGATTGTGAGTGTAAGGCCATATTTTATGAATTTGTCTAAGGTCAAATTGATTGGATATGCTATATTCCCCCTTTAATGGAATTTTCCTGGGCATGTACCACTTTATCAGATTTTGGATTAGAGAAGACTCATATGGGATAGGAATGTTGGGTTGAAGAGTAAGAAAAATCTGCCTCATTAGGGCTCAGTAATAGGCTAGCAATGACTGACATGCCACTCAGCAGAAGGAAATCATTTAGTCCAAAGATGTAGGAGACGACAAATAATTTATTGAAGTATTGTTGCCAAAAGCTTCAGTCAGAAAATGGTTTCTTACAGGTATGTGTGATCCCATGAATTTGAAAGACATGGCAAAATCTAAAGTTAGAACTTGTTTTTATGATGCCTAGACTTCTTCCAAGGCTTGTTAACATATGGGCTTCTATTTAAAGTTAGTTGCATTGATAGAGTGCTTTGAAGAATGACCAGGTATAGGATGTGATGTCACCACTACCTAACAAGAAAAATCCTTTGTTGTTGGGACTGGAGGCCTAGTAAATTTTCCTTTAAGGCAGCAGTTTCCAGCCTTTTTGGCACCCGGGACCAGTTTTGTGGAAGACAAATTCTCCACAGATTAGGGTGGAGGGGGTGGTTTCAGGATGATTCAGGCACATTACATTTATTGTATACTTTATTACTATTATTACATTATAATATTTAATGAAATCATTATACAACTTACTTTAATGTAGAGTCAGTGGGAGCCCTGAGCTTGTTTTCCTGCAACTGGATGGTCCCATCTGGGGGTGATGGGAGACAGTGACAGACCATCAGACATTAGGTTATCGTATGCAGCATGCAACGTTGATACCTCGCATGCACAGTTCACAATAGGATTTGTGCTCCTATGAGAATCTAATGCGTCTGCTGATCTGACAGGAGGCTGAGCTCAGGTAGTCATGCAAGTGATGAGGGAGTGGCTATAAATACAGAGGAAGCTTTGCTTGCTCACTCACCACTTACCTCCTGCTGTGTGACTCAGTTCCTAACAGGCCCTGAACTGGTACCAGTGTGTGGTCCAGGAGTTGGGGATACCTGCTTTAAGTGATACAGAATGTATCTTATTGCTACTGTCTAGATGATGACTGCCTTCTCCAAATTCATCTGAATACTAGGGCCCTGGATCATTTAAAGTTATCTTTAATCAGGTATGCCTAGACAACATCTAATATTTGTTTGGTGTGATCACAGTCATCAGTGCGATATAATATCTGGAGATTGCTAGCAGTGTACATTTTACTAAGTTTTGTCCCACACTGAAAATGTATAACAGGAATTAAAACATTCTCAAGAAAGATTACTAAAGGTATATTTACTAATCTTGGCATACCTTGCCAAGTCTTCAGCTACATACATGTATTAGTAGTGGCAGCAATTTATTCTATAGCTTGTGTAGTGACAGACTGGAGTAAGTAGAGCTTTTTATTTCCCTGGTTAAGCTTCAGTAGTCCAGTATGGAGTGTCCAGTTTTTTTTTTCTTAACTAAACAGACTAGCATTGAGGAGTCTCTTTATGTATTACATTTTGTTTGAAGAATAATTTATTATTCTTCTTGTGTGCAATATTATGGAATGATCTTGCCAGTTCGGTTTTTCACCATGTGCTTGGCCAGCCATTATGGAGGTTACCAATAGATAATTAACCAACTAATATGGCTGTGTACCTGTTTTTGGTTTAATAATTCAGAATGTCCTTATTAATTATGTAATCTGAGAAAGAAACAGCAAACAGTATTAATATAAAGTATAAAAATAGTAGCCTGCGTGTTAGGGTTCCCTAAGACTACTCTCCTCAAGAGGAGAACTCACAGCACTCATCATATATGATGACCATGATTTATTATATAAAAAGGATGCAAAGCAGAATGAGCAAAAGGAAAATGTGCATGGTAAAAATCCAAAAGAAACATCCTACTTAATTTGAGATTATGGTGTCCCATAATTCAATGGCTACCTGATCCCTATAGCCATTCTTACTGAGAACAAGTAATTTATCTCTTGAGTTTTTATGACTGTGTAAGATATGGACGCTGAGGTATTGACCATTTCAACTTAGTAGTTTGTTTGGTATAAGGCTTCCAATGGAATTATTTCCCACTTCAGTGGTAGCCCAAACTTTCTGTTTTCAAAAGCTACATATAACATACATGAGTCATATACTACTAGCTACACATAACAAGGTTTATTTAGAAAAACTTATAAGGAGAATAGCAAGCAGAGCACATTGCAATATTACAGGTATCAGTGAAAGAGTTGAAAGTCTCTACCAAGCTACCAAGTAGGGAAGGGAGATATTAACTGAGGCCATTCATTCATTCATAACATTGTCATTCTCATTAACTGATAACTTTTTTTTTCTAGTATGAGAATAGTTTTTCTTTGTCCTATATAATATCCTTATAGTTTAAGTTCCATTTCTGATTATTTCAGTAATAACATTGCTGGCTAGAGGTAGCTAGGCAACATCGTCAGTTTAAGAATTATTTATTCATTTACAAACTATTTCTAAGTAGTCCATCAACCAATTTTCATTAAGTTAATAATTTCAAGTATTTTAACCTTTTATTTTTTCCAGGCTTTTAGTTATCTTGGACTTCTACTGAACCTTTAAAAATTTTTGACTTTCTTTTCAGTTGAGGAGCCTAGAACTAGCCACTATGAATATTTTGATCAATGTTAATTGTAATTTTTTAAAACTATCAAAATATTGATAACTTTTGACTTTTATAGCACCTATATTGAAAATTTTCTATAAAATTCATTTTTAGAATCATATTAGTTTGTACTGTATTGCACACTTTGGGTCTTAGATATTTTTGTTTTATATATAGGAATGCATTCTACATCTTGTATTACTGCAGATAAGAATATCAATAATATTTTCTTAGTATTTTATTATTAATTTGTCCCTTATTTGCATTGATAATTAAAAATTCAATGTAACATCAATACTTGTGAGAGAGTTTTTTTTTTTTTTTTTCCTAAGAGGGGAGGGTATGCGTTGGGGATTGTATTGACATTTTAGAAAATGGATGGTGTTGGGCAGCTCGGGCGGCGGGAGGAGTGGTAGCGGCCAGGCAGCCCATCTTCGCAAAGGCTTTCGGCGCGCCGTGGCCCGCGGGCACCCGGCACGCACCTCCCCGCCGCCAGGATGCCCAAAAGGAAGGTCAGCTCCGCCGAAGGGGCGGCCAAGGAAGAGCCCAAGAGGAGATCCGCGCGGTTGTCAGCGAAACCTCCTGCAAAAGTGGAAGCGAAGCCAAAAAAGGCAGCAGCGAAGGATAAATCTTCAGACAAAAAAGTGCAAACAAAAGGGAAAAGAGGAGCAAAGGGAAAACAGGCTGAAGTGGCTAACCAAGAAACTAAAGAAGATTTACCTGCAGAAAACGGGGAAACAAAAACTGAGGAGAGTCCAGCCTCTGATGAAGCGGGAGAGAAAGAAGCCAAGTCTGATTAATACCATATACCATGTCTTATCAGTGTTCCCTGTCTCCCTTCTTGTACAATCCAGAGGAATATTTTTATCAACTATTTTGTAAATGCAAGTTTTTTAGTAGCTCTAGAAACATTTTTAAGAAGGAGGGAATCCCACCTCATCCCATTTTTTAAGTGTAAATGCTTTTTTTTAAGAGGTGAAATCATTTTCTGGTTGTTTATTTTTTGGTACAACCAGAAAATAGTGTGGGATACTGAATTATGGGAGGCTTTGACTGTCTTGGGTGTCAGCTTAACATTCCATAGATGGGGGGTTAGTTTTTATATCCTATAATACAAAGCATATTAAATGGCAATATGGAGTCAGTCTTGCATTTAATGTCTTGAACATTTTAAATTACTTCTATTCCCATGTTTTTTAGTAGAATTGTTTCCTAAAGAAAACCACTCTGGTCGTGGCTCTCCCTGTCAGAATTGTGTGCACTCTGTAACATCTTTGGTGTGATAGTCCTGTTTTCCTAATAACTTTGTTACTACTTTGAATATGTAGTGTACATGCTATTCAGTTGTGAATTGTTGGGACATATGTAACAGCTTATCAACATGTGAAGATATAGGTACTTGATAGCCTCTTACGGAAAATTTGCATCTAAATTTTAAGCTGGAAAGTCACTGGAATAACTTTAAAAAGGAATTATACATGGCTTTTTAGATTTTTGTTACGTATGTTAAGAATTGTGTACAAATTGAAATGTCTGTACTGGTCTTCAATAAAATCTCAATTATGAAACAATATTTTAAAGCATGTGGATTAAGTTCTGGTTTAAATTTTATTTACAGAATTTTCACATTTGAGCCTGGCCGACATGGTGAAACCCTTACTCTACTAAAAATAAAAGAATTCGCCGGTCATGGTGGCTTGCACCTGTAGTCCCAGCTACTCGGGAGGCTGAGGCAGGAGAATCACTTGAACCTGGGAGGTGGAGGTTGTAGCGTGCCCAGATGACACCACTGCAAGCAGTGAGACCCTGTCTCAAAAAAAAAGTTCCACATTTGGTCTTCCAAAGTTCTTTAAAGAGTAAAATGTTTAGTTTTTGTTTGATGCAGTCATGAATCACTGGATACTGTCTTAAGAAACATTGTTTTATTGTGTGAACAACAGTGTGTCTTAACACAAACTTCATAGGCATGGCCCATTACATACTTAGGCTGTATGGTTGAACCTATTGCTCCTAGGCAACAGACTTAACACAGCATGTTACCGTGTGAATACTATAGGGAGTTGTAATACAATGGTAAGTATTTGTCTATGTAAACTTAGATCTGAGTATAGTAAAAGTACAGTGTTATGGGTCCATTATGTGGTTCATTGTCTGATACGTGGGACATAACTACTTGAGATAACTGCTATGTCCTTTGAAGTGCTTGACTATATTGGTTTAATGGAAGAACAATGCAGTGTCTTTTGAATTAAAGCAAATACATAATTACTAGCTCTTCGTATGTTAAAGAAAAGCACAGAGTAGGCCAGGCATGGTGGCCCACACCTGTAATCCCAGCACTTTGGGAGGCCAAGGCAGGTAGATCACCTGAGGTCAGGAATTGGAGACTAGCCCGGCCAACATGGTGAAACCGGGTCTTTACTAAGAACATAAAAATAAGGTGGGCTTGGTAGCTGGCGCCTGTAATCCCAGCTGCTCAGGAGGCTGAGGCAGGAGAATTACTTGAACCTAGGAGGTGAAGGTTGCAGCAAGCCAAGGTCACACCGTTGCTCTCCAGTCTGGGTGACAAGAGTGAAAATCTCAAAAAAAAATACAGAGTAAGCTATGACTAAATCTAGTGTGGTATGTATTTTCCTGATTTGCTTTCACATACATTGTATTCTCATTTTGCCCTTTAAGTAGTCTTTAGAGGTGATGTAGGGCAACTGTTGATTTGGCAAAAGTGGAAATGGCCAGAGATGGACCTCGCTGAGGTTATCACTAAAGGGTCCTTGGAACAATTCAAACCTCTGTACATTTGGTGTGTTTTGCCTGTGGGGTGATTAGTAGGCAAGAATCCTTTAAAAACAAGCCCTATGGGGTCATAGATCTCTGCACAGACTGCCTGAGCAGGAGTTGATAGGGAATAGTGAGGATATAGTAAAAGCAAATGCAACGACAATGACATGGGATAACCTGACAGCAAAGAAGTTCTGATAACCCGTGGGGGGTGGGAAGGGACTAGGGCCAGCTGAGTGCCGTGGTCATTACACTATGGAGGCCTGAAACAGTGATGAACAGATTTGTCTTTAATTTCCAAGTATAGGAGAATAGGTAAGTTTTTGATAAGAATTTTAACCATAGAACCCATCTGCCAGTGTTTGGTTAATTAAACTCCCCAACCTTCCCACCCCTTAGAGTGGTGATAGATGTTTTCAAATCACAGATTTTCTCAATCATTCTATACTAATTGTAATGACTATTTAAAGAAATCACTAGTTTTTCTTACAAAATAAAACAGGGAAAGGGTTTTGGTTTATAGATTGATACCAAAAAAAAAAATTGTAGAAAGCATAACAGAAGTACTTTAATTTCCTACCTGGAACTACTCTGTTAGGCTTTTCTACAGCTTTTTTTGGGGAAAGGCTTGCCTTGTTTTATCTGACCAGTTACTCGGGTGTTTGCTAGCCCTAAGGCTGCCCATTTTCCTTATTTTTTTTTTTTATCCTACCCACAGGAAGGAACACATTTTTGTGATAAACTGACTTCAACTGTCAAAGGAAAAAGTTTTTTAAAGCCACCATGGGGACTGGATGTGGCAGTCACACCAGTGCTTTGGGAGGCCAAGGTAGGAGGATTGCTTGAGTCTGAGTTCCAAATCAGCCTGGCCAGCAGCGAGACCCCATCTTTACAGAAATTTTTAAAAATTAGCTGAGCATGTGATGCATGTCTGTGGTCCCAGCTACTCAGGAGGCTGAGGCAGGAGGATCACAAGCCCAAGATTTCGAGGCTGCGGTGAGCTAAGATTGTGTCATTGCACTCTAGCCTGGGGGACGAAGATCTTGTCTCAAAAGCCACTTTGAGGTATGTTTTCTGGGATCAGTACAGAAAGTTAATCTCTTGCCCTTCAAACAGTTGACAGTACTTTTGAGTGATGAGAGTGGTTGACTGGATGTACCAATATCAGGCATTTAAAAGTATAAGGAGTGATCGCTTCGGCAGCACATATACTAAAATTGGAACGATACAGAGATTAGCGTGGCCCCTGTGCAAATTGTTTTTTTTTAATAAAAATTTAATAATAAAAAAAAGTATAAGGAAGAGAACTTCTTATCAGACAGCAATTGGTTGATTAGAAAAACTAGTGAACAAGAACCCTGCATTCTCTTGGCTTCTCAGAGATTGAGCTTGTTGTGCGTCAGATGTGGGTTAATCAGGATTTAAGGCACAGATCTTGGTACTTAGCTTGGATTCATGGTAATCATGGAGGCCCCAGGGGGAGGTTCTGTTCTGTTGTAGCAGTTTGGGAAATGTGTGTAAAAGTCTTGTGGGGGTAGGGATGAGGTCAGGAGGATGGACAGATGCAGGGGTGAGAAATATGTGTGTGATCATAGTGGAGCAATTAATACTTATTAAAAAAACCTTAGGAACTGCAGACAAGCTAACAACACCCGTAATTCGCTTACTTAGACAACTATTTAAGTAGCTATTTAAAGATGCATTTTTCTCAGATCCTATCCTATGCTTATATGATTATACAAAGTGGTGGTGTACATCCTATTTTGTAGTCTTGAGCATACTGTGACCTTTCTCCTATATCAATGAGTTTACCTACACAGCATTTGTAAGCACTGTGTAGTTTATTTCAAGAATATATAATTTGTCAGACATTTAGACTTTTTTGCAGTAAAACAAGCATTGGCAAACTAAAAACTAATCTCTACTAACCCACACAGATAGACCTAAAGATGTATCTGCTTATCACAATCCCCATTTGCTCTATGAGTTTGCAATAGAAATACTTGGTTAAAACACCAAGTAATTTTGAGAATTAGAATTGAGAATTTCTAAGCAATTAGGCTTAAGTAGATCATGGGAAGTAGCTCATCAATTGGTAACAATTGCTTTTATTTCAAGATTATGAAAGTTAGATTACATCTTTTGAAACTTCCAAAAATATAAAGTAAGAAACCATTTAGGGTCCCTGCGAGGTGGCTCACCACTCTAATCCTAGCATTTTGGGAGGCCAAGGCGGGCAGATCACTTGAGCTTGAGGTCAGGAATTTCACAAGGTGAAACCTCATCTCTACTAAAATAGAAAAATCAGCTGATGGTGGGTGCTTGTAGTCCCAGCTCCTCGGGAGGCTGAGGCAGGAGAATCACTTGAATCAGTGAGCTGAGATCTACCACTGCACTCCAGCCTGAGTGACAGAGCAAGACTCTGCCTCAAAAAACAAACAAAACCGTTTAATCCCAGAAGCTGCAAGTAATTATTTTAGACATGGTGAATTTTCTTCATATGTTTGCGTTTTTCCTTAACTGTAAAATGTTTTGATACTTGCTTAATATTTCATCGTGCGGTAAAAACCATAATTTGGCCATTACAGTTTTTTTTTTTTAGAGACGGGGTTTCACCATGTTGGTCAGGCTGGTCTTGAACTCCCGACCTCAGGTGATCCGCCCGCCTTGGCCTCCAAAGTGCTTGGATTACAGGCGTGAGCCACCACGCCCGGCTNCAGTTTGGGCAGTTATCATCCAATGACATTTTCCATTTTACCTGATTTAAGAATTATAAAGTATCCATGATTATATGCATAACAGATAGTGTATTTGTACATCTATTTGCTTAGTAAGAAAAGGATGTAGTGCTCAGATCATCAGAGTTAACAAATGCTTTTGCAAGCAGGAGGAGATACACTCTTTATACCACTTCAGTGATGTTGAAGACTGTGATATAGAATGCTGTCAACATGCTTATATAAAAGCTGCTAAAATATATGCTCATGATTAGACTATTATATGGTAGTATTTAGACATGGAATGATTATTAGATGCAGAGTCAATCTAAAGCAGACAGTGAATGACACAAAGTTAGTAAGATTTGTAAATTATATTTTGGTTGTTTTGGGCAATTTACCAAAGAATTGGGAAGGTACAATCACTTGCTTTTTTATTATTTTCTGTGTGGCTGTAGGCTGCCTTCTATAGTCATTGCTGTTCTCCTCCTCCTCCTTCAACTCCTCTTCTCCTCATCCTCCTCTTTCTCTTCCCCCCTCGTTCTCCTTCTCCTTCTCCTTCCCTGTCTAATCAGTAAGGCTTTGAAAGTATTTCCATTTCTCTTTGACTGACACAAGCTTGAATACAGCATTGCTTGCACAACCTCTTCATACTTTTTGTTCCCGACCCCCTCAGCAGAAGTATCATGTTTGTTATGCAGTGGTTCCTTATGGTTTCATGAGACAATAGAAGTGGGGAATGCCTGAATATGGGAATAGGTTATAAATGAACTGTATATTAGCATTTAAGGCATTGTTCTCGTATTGCCAAA